TCATCTATCTATCTATCATCTATCTATCTATCATCTATCTATCTATCTATCTATCATCTATATTGATCCATCTATTTACCTATTTATCTTTCTATTATCTATATCTATTGATCTGTCCATCTATGTGTGCATGTATGTATGCATGTATGCATGTATGTATCCACCACACATTTATATTCATTTTTTTAGGTACAGGGATTACAGAAACCCTCCTGATCATGAAAGCAAATATGTTCATAACATGCAGTTCTGGCACGTCCTTGCTGCCAAGATGACCTTCATCATCGTTATGGAAGTAAGTTCTCAGCCCTGTCCAGTTTTTCTCTCTTCTCCACCTGCTGGTGTCTGTAGGGCCACCTGCTCTTCAGAAAGCTAGCATCATCTCAATACTTCCTTTGAAGGAATCATAAATTTTTCATACACCTAGAAGCAACTTAAGATGTGGTCTATGGCTTTTTTGTTTTTTTGTGGTTGTTAAAGTCACCATGACAACAGAAAAGGAAGAGAAGAACACGGCCTCTCTCCCTGAGGTCAGAAGAAGGCAAACTTCAGAATAACGGCTTCATTCTCATTGCAGAGGCCCAGCTCAGCCTTAACAGTCTGGTAAACCAGCCTTAATTGTTTATCGTTGACACACAAAGCTAGAGCTGTGCATCAGTCCCAGGAAGACACCCTGTGCCCTGCCTCCTCAGGGTGCTTCTCCCCTGTGTGATGTCTGGGATAATTAGGAGAGAAGGCATGTAAGAAAAGATAAGCACCCCAGAGGGGTGGGAACGAATCATTAAACAGAGAAAGAAACATAAAGAAAACATGCCCCCCACCCCCGCAGGAGTGCCCAGGCACAACACGGTCACCGCGTCAGCATGTGCTGTTCAGTTACTTGGACTCTGTTACTATTATTGTCTAGACTATGAATAGGACTTTAAAAGGCAAATAGTTCCACATGACTAGCAAAGACAGCGGCCTCATTTTTTTCTAACCTCAAATCCTAATGTTCAAGCATTTCAATTTTTTAAAAAAATTTACTTATTTTATTTTATGTGTACGTGTGTATTGCCTGCATGTAGGTAAGTGCACCTGTGTTGTGCAATGCCCTTGGAGGTCAGAAGAGGCTGTCGGATCCCCTGGGACTGGAGTTATGGACAATTGTTAGCTGCCATGTGGGTGCATTTTTCCTAACAGTTTGCCTCCAGCAAAGCAATAGCCCAGTGCAGCTTGTACTTTAGATTTTAGTTTTAGGTAGCAGTTGTTGACTTCCTAATGTGACATGTCATGTGTACCCAGCACACAGGACACTGTCTAAATATACAGACATCATCTTCCTCCTCCATCTCACAATAATTACAATAGATACTGTCATTTACACAGTTCTATGATTTCTTATTCTGAGATCCGAAATCTCAAAAACAGTGATTTGAAGGTGTGTTAGGCATTTCTACTTCATCTGACATAGCTTCAGGCTCTCAGTAGAGATCCTTTATCCCTTCAGGGTGACTGCTTATGAACTTTGCTGCAGAAATCCTGAAGGGAGTACCTCAGGTTCCCTCATCCATGGTTACCACACTAACCTATGTATTTTTGGTATTTAATTACTCTAAAATAATACATTCATTAGAGTTTCAAGTAAGAGAGTTCTGATGAGCATTGAGAGGCAGTGTTTCTATATTATGGCTTTATAATTATCAGTAATGTTTGCATCCTGTATGACACTCTGGAAACTTTTCCCTGGTTGCCTTTAGCCTCTGTCTGTTTCTTTGTCTCTCTGTCTCGCTCCCTCTCTCTACCCTCATCCATAATAGTTCTTACATTTTTTATGCCCTTATTACACATTCATTGAACATGTTTCAGAAGGAGGTCTAGCTCATTTTTCCACCCAGGAAACTGCTCCAAACCCTTCGTAAAGTTCATCTTTCAGTAGTGCTCTGAGGAAAATCTGCAGGTGGTCCATGTTCAATTCCTGAATATTGAACATTTCCTTACAAATATTGTTCATTTGTGATAGAATTAAATTTTTGATGTTGATTTCACAAACATTTATTATTTTAACTTTGTTTTATATATATAAGTGTATTGTCTGCATGTATGTAAGTGCACCTGTGTCATGCAACAGAAACGGAGGTCAGAAGAGGGCATCAGATTCCCTTGGAACTGGAGTTAAGGATGGTTCGTAGCCACCATGTGGGTGCTGGGAATCAAACCCGCATCCTCTGCAAGAGCAGTCAGTGCTCTTAACCTCTGAGCTATCTCTCCAGTTCCTCCACAAAATTTTTAACCAACTTCATTGGGCATTCTTGAAGAATTTTAAGACATTGATTTACTTTTATTCAGCTCTAATTAAGAATTGCACTCAGATCCCCTAATTTCCAGTGTGGCTTATTTGGCTAGCAAGGAGGAAATCTGAGGTTTTATCCTAATAAGAGAACAGTGCCTTCGTCCCATTGACTGGGGTCCAGCATCATAGTCTTTCTCGGTGGGCTAAAGAAGTTTTAAAAGACTCAGCACAAGACAAATGAAGGATGGGGGACAGAGCAGGTACTGTGAGGACTGTCTCACCAGCTCCACGTTCATGGAAACTCAAAAGAAAGTTGCTGGCTCTTGGACAGCATAATCCTTGGAGACACTGACTGAGCCCTGTAGATCTGAAAGGATGCCCTTCAAACTCAGGAAATGTGCCTGCCTGTGTCCTCGGCAGATGCTTCCGTCTGTCTGTTCTGTCTCTGCTGCAGCTTCTGTCTGTCATGAAGCCTGATGATCATGTTTTCTTCTGTGATTTCTTCAACAGTTTTTCTTTGCTGTGTCTCTGTGGTCCTGTCTTGGCCTCTGATGACTCTTCTCTTTGCTCTCCAGTCTACCTTTGGTTCTCTTCTTCAGCTGGAGGTTTTATTGCACGTTAGCTCTGCTCATACTTGATAGTGATAAAAGGGTCAGATGATAAACTTAATGTGCAGAGGCAGCCAACTCACCTTTCACTGGAGATTCACCAAGGTTCAGTCTGAAGTTCCTAAGGGGCAGCTCAGAAAAGAATTCCAGGCCAAGCCTGTATGAAGCAGTGCTGGGTTTTGTTAAATGTAGAAAGAATGGGCTAGCGAGATGGTTTGGTAGGTCTGGGTGCCTGCCTCCAAGCCTGACATCCCAGTGGGGTCTCCAGAGGAACCCACATGGTAAGAGAAAACGGAATCCCAAAAGCTGTTCACTGACCTACATATACACACACATACACACACACACACACACACACACACACACACACTGAGAGAGAGAGAGAGAGAGAGAGAGAGAGAGGAGAGACAGAGAGGAGAGAGAGGAGAGAGAGAGGAGAGAGGAGAGAGAGAGAGGAGAGAGAGAATTATTTTAAATAGAAAAGCACTCAAGAAGGCATCAAAGCACACACAAGAGCACAGGTATGAGCTTCTCAAGGGACAGTTTCATTTTATTAAAAGACATTGTAGGCATACATTTTAAGCACAGAAGTTAGGGGAAAGAGAGATGCTTAAAGAAAGAATAAGATACCCAGGATTGGGCATGAGTTCCGAATTGAGTGACTTACCTTAGCTGCATGTGCCATCTTGAGACCCTCAAGTTAAATCTCAAAAGGCTGCCAAGAAGCTTTTTTTTCTTTTAATTCCCTTTGATAAGCATACAGGATGCTCTTAGGAGCTCCCTAGGGTTCTAAAATGCTAGGATAAAACCAGAAGTCTCTAGGGGCAGGCAAGAGTTCTCTAGGATTCCTAAACTAGGTTTATAGCTGGCAAGGAAGCAAAGGGTTAAGCGGTTGTTTAATGTGCTGGGTTCCTTTTATCCAGTCGGCCAAAGGGTTCAGCCAGACTCCGGCGGGGGAATGGACTCCCTTCCCTTTCTGTGTCCCTGCAGTTTCCTCTCTTTCCCGAATCAATTCAACATTCTGAATTTCACCTTTCCTAGACCTCCAGTTTTAGGGTGAGCCACACTCCCTCCCCATGTATTTAGCTCCCTGATATAAAAACAAACTGTTCACCTACTTCCTGGGTGGCCTGCAGTGGGAGAAAAACTTAGAAACACACAGGAAGGCACCGGAGGCTCTCCCATTCCTTGGGCAGATCTCAAATGGATACCCTTGTTTTCCAGTCTATGGCACACTAATGTCTAACGACCTTGCCACCTTCCTGAAAACTTTCTAAGAATCTAAACCAAAGTTGCTTGTGTCTTTCTGTTTTCTGTTATCCACACCAAGTCGCTAATTGCATAGCTGGGTATCAGCTTTTCTTGCTGAAGGCTAATAATTTTACAAATTATTAGGTTTTAAGGGGGAAGCAGAGATAGTGTTTCCAATAGGCGTGTTTTATTTCCCCAGTTACACATCTAAATACACATCTGTTGAATAGCGGTATGTGCATATGTCTGTCTTTTTGGTTACCCTTGTTCTCCCTGAGTCCAGCAGTTCATCAACCTCATGAGACGATTCCGGAGGCACTCCTGTTGAACCTGAGAATTCTAACGGTATCTCTTGATTCCCCCCCCCTTTTTTTTCTTTAGCATATCGTGTTTCTGTTTAAATTTCTCTTGGCCTGGATGAAACCGGATGTTCCAAAAGATGTCTTGGAGAAAATCAAACGAGAATCAGCTTTTCTTGCTGAAGGCTAATAATTTTACAAATTATTAGGTTTTAAGGGGGAAGCAGAGATAGTGTTTCCAATAGGCGTGTTTTATTTCCCCAGTTACACATCTAAATACACATCTGTTGAATAGCGGTATGTGCATATGTCTGTCTTTTTGGTTACCCTTGTTCTCCCTGAGTCCAGCAGTTCATCAACCTCATGAGACGATTCCGGAGGCACTCCTGTTGAACCTGAGAATTCTAACGGTGTATCTCTTGTCCCCCCCCCCTTTTTTTTCTTTAGCATATCGTGTTTCTGTTTAAATTTCTCTTGGCCTGGATGATACCGGATGTTCCAAAAGATGTCTTGGAGAAAATCAAACGAGAAAAGTTAATGACTATCAAAATTATCCATGACTTTGAGCTCAACAAATTAAAACAGCACTTTGGGATCAATACTGACGATATTATCACCGAGGTCATTGAGCAAGGGGAAACGGCCACGGCCCAGACCCAGAGGTCGAAAGCCAACAATGAACCTGAGAGCCCATCTGCACAGAGCAAGTAGCTGGGAACTTTCCAGGCTGGCTGGCTGTTTCCTCTGAGCTGAGGGCTGGAGGCCCAAAGCCATGTTTTTTTCTGTATTTTTGATTTTTAGCTCAGTGTCTTTGTGCACTTTAATTGATGTTGATGGTATGCTATGAGAAAACGTTCATGTACCCTCTGCTGGGTGCTCCCCAGCGTGCAGCTCTCTGGGGTCCTGTAACCCATTGCAGGAGGTGCCTGTGGGGTCAGACTCTGAGAGCCGTGGAGTGTGGCTGTTTTGAGTGAAACCCTGGCCTGGGGTCTCTGCCACTCCCCTGGACCACTGCAGATCTTAGTGTCTTCAGTTGGGCCCCTTCTGTCTCCCTCAGACCAAGGTGCGGCAAAGAGAAAGGAAAGAGGCCCACCATGTCATACAATGTCTGCCGTTATAAAATCCACATGCGAAAAGCCAAAATTCTATGTCGTGAGAAGTCTCATCTATTAACAAGTACTGGATAAACACCATGGTGGGAAATATGCTGTGGAAGTGGTCAGGTGGAAGTTAGCACCCATCAAATCCAAGAGAGATCTTCCTGGTAAATGTATTCATTTTTCTAAGAGACTAAACGAGTTTCAACAAAAGACCCTCAGCAGAATTTTAAGGACACTGTTTCCGCAGTGGTGATGGACTTCAATGCTTCGTGAATGATCTGATCTAGAAAACAGCATTGCACAGGTGTTAGGTTGCCACAGCCTTTCTAGTAAACGAAGGGATTGTGAGAAGAAATGCACAGCAATTATTCACTCATGAAGTGGCCCTTTTTAACTCTCCTCTGAAATACCGATTTTCATCATGAAGCCTTTCTGAGCACTAGGCATTTGTATATGTTGTGTACAAATTGTTTACAAAATCTGACGTCTGCTTGCTCTAAAGAAACTCCAAAACTTGTAATAAATATGCAGTCCATCCCTAGGATACACCACACACACACACACACACACACACACACACACAGAGCTCGGTGCCTTGTTCCCATGCCTTTGACACATGAGACATTTTGTGGGCAACTTTTAACCTGTCATGATCAAGTATTTCAAATGTGGGCTTGTCTTAACTGTCAGTGATACAACCACAGAGTTTTAACACCAAAGGAAAATCAACCCTGTAAGAATAATGTGTTTGTTAAGTACTCCTTTCAAATTTGGGGCTATGTGCACGCACAACAATTCTTGTTGTTTGTTCAGTTAACAAAACATTACATGTGTGTATATGTGAGTTGCCCTGACCAGCTTGAGTGTTACAGCCCAGCTATGGGCATTGGGATCTTGCCCTGACCAGCTTGAGTATTACAGTCCAGCTACGAGCATTGGGATCTTTAGTTTTAAATTACAGTTCGGTTAGAAAGGAAGATTTTTTTTATCACATACATACAAACAAGGAAACTTTATCACAAGATTTTTAAAAGTAACGTTCCTTTAAGGATAAAATTTTATAGCTTTGCCAATATTATGGTACTAAGCATTAATCAATATTAAGTATTAAAATAGGGATTATAGATTTTATAAAACCTTGAGTGTCACCCACTACATTGGCAATGCTGATTTTTTTTTTTTTTTTTTGGCCCACTGGGTAGATTTTGTGAACAGTTGTGGGTCGTATGAAATCCTAATCGAAGGATGACCTAGCTCCTGCCTAGAAAGCTCGTGATAACCAGCACGGAATAAGCCACAGATGCAGTGTTTTTGGCTTGTCAAATCGAACTGTGCCCTCGTAGAGCACACCGCTGGTGCCGCTTTCTTCCTGGTGCTGATTTTAAAAGGAAGAACAGCCTTTGGTGGAAAAACACTGTCATTTTTATGGCCTAAAAGCATTATGGAGCTGTGCTGTAAATTAAAGACAGCTCACTGCTAAACTCTATATACTGTAGCTTTACAATGAGCCCACTTTGGGTGTTGAGTTTCTAGAGCAAAGGAAGACCTTAGCCAGAACTCAGTCTTCAGACAAGCACGTCCTACGGTTGTCGGTGTTTCTACTTTGAAACGCCGTTGTGATTTCGCACTGAGTAGCTTCTCTGTGTTTCATATTTTGCTGGGAAACACTAGGCTCTCTAGGGGAAAGTTTGCTGGCTGAAATCAGGAGCAGGAGCACAGCTTTGTTCAAACAGATTTGTCTCATCTGACCGAATACCGTGGTTGGTGTGGGAAGGGTACAGGATGAGCAGCTGACCACCAGGTACATGTTGGCATTCAGGACTATGCCTGTGGTTTTCGTTATCTGGTCAAACTCATGGTTTTCTTTTTTTTTTTTCTTTTTTCAGTAATATTCCAGGGAACATTTGAGATCATATGTGAAAACTGAGATTTTAAGTACCAAAGCCAAAAACACATAACTCTTTCAAATGTCCTCTGTAATCACTATTTTCATCATTTTTATTTCTCCACACAGAAGTGACAATCCTTCAAACTGTTTATTTTAGAGGAATCTACAAGAGGGGACTGTCCTCATTAAATGAAATACTGCCTTAATTCTGCAGCATCTCTGAACTCCTCAATTTAACCTCCGTTTAGCCAAGCCATTGAGTGAGTTATTAAAAGAGGAGGAGAGAGAAATGGCAGTGACTTCTTGGAGTCTTGTGGGGGGCTCTTTTGGGTCCAGCTGTGGGTAGGAACACGCAAATCTCTTCCCTGTGCCTGTCGGTAATGGCATACGAGGGACTGGGCATATTTCAAGTTGACAATTACTATGTTTCAAAAGAAAGCCTTTGCCTGCTAAGTGCGTTTGTCGGGTCAGGTATTGTGAAGAGTCATGTGGGTCGACTTTGCTCTCCAGTGACAATGGTACTGTTCATTCAAAGATAATCTGTTTTTTTGAAAGAACCTGTCATAGTTATTATGTAATTGAATAACGCCATTACGGAAAATCGCATTACCAGGATCTGGACTCTGCGGCAAGGAATCATCCGACGCATCCTGTTACTGTTTTCCTCAGAATTTTAATCGTCTGCTTTTCTGTGTAGTCATAGAAGTATGCCAGTCACTCTGGCATTATGTAAAAACTAATGAAAATGTTATTTTAAAAGTATGTACAGTATGGCTTAATCTGTGTGAGATACATGTGTCCTTGCCCCTGAAAATCTGTGACTTGATGCAGGGTGTAGCTCCTCCCCGTGTGAGGTACTGTGCCCTGGGATTAGCCCAGAAAACACACTTTCCTTCCTTCCTCCCTCCCTCCTTCCCTCCCTCCCTCCCTTGCTTCCTCCCTCC